CGTGGATTCCCTCGAGTGAGTTGCCAAAATCATATGATGAGGCCAAGAAATATCTTGGAGAATTGGGCCTTGGTTACGAAAACATCCATGTGTGCAAGAACAATTGTGTGTTGTTTCGGAAGAGGTATGAAAAAGAGAATGTGTGCCCAGTATGCAAGACGTCTAGATGGCAAGATGAAACTAGGAACAAGAAGGTTCCACACAAGGTATTGAGGCATTTTCCACTTTTGCCAAGGTTGAAAAGAATTTTTGCTTCAAAGCGAACTTCTGAGGAAACACAATGGCACAAGAAAAAGAGGACGCCAGTCGACAATGTAATGAGCCATCCAGCTGATGGAGAAGCATGGAAGGACTTCGACACGAGGGAACCATCCTTTGCAGATGATTCGAGGAACCTGAGGCTTGCCTTAGCTACCGATGGATTCAATCCATTTGGCAACATGAGTACGCAGTACAGTATGTGGCCAGTGCTTCTGACACCACTGAATCTCCCACCATGGGAATGCGTGAATCCGGCAAACTGCTTTATGTCTTTACTCATCCCAGGTCCAAAATCTCTAGGAAAGGATTTTGATTTGTTCTTTGAGCCCCTAATTGAAGAACTGCTCGATCTATGGAAGGGTTTAGTACCTACGATGCATGCACTGGTCGAAAGTTTAACCTTTGTGCTGCCGTGTTGTGGTGTATACATGATTTTCCAGCGTTGAGCACGTTATCAGGGCGAACAACAAAAGGGTATTATGCATGTATTCATTGTGATAAGGATCCGTTGTCTCGGGCAATAAGGAATAAGATATGTTACATTGGACATCGTCGTTACCTTCCAAGGACACATGCATGGCGGAGAAGCTTGGCTTTCGATGGTAAGCGTGAAAACAAAGAGCAACCAGGCAAGTTCACTTTGGAGGAGGTCCTAGAGGAGCTAGAGAAGGTGAAAGATGTCAGGCCAGGGAAGCATCATGAAATTATTGGAAATAAAAGGAAGCGCAATGAGGGTCCAAAGATTTATAGCCGCAAAGTTGGTTTGTGGAGATTGCCATATTGGAAACATTTAAAGCTTCCACATAATCTCGATGTCATGCACATAGAGAAAAACATATGTGAAAACATTCTTGGCACATTACTCAATGTATGAGGCAAGACCAAGGACACAACCAATGCTAGGCTAGATTTGCATGATATGGGCATAAGACCTGAATTGCACTTACAAACAAAGACATGGCAACTCGATCATTGCTCCACTGCTCCATATGTCTTGGGAAGGATCGGAAAACCGATTTATGCAAGTTTCTCAAAGGTATCAAGTTTCGATGGATATGCGGCTAACCTAGCAAGATACATAAGTGAAGATGGTTCAAAGGTGCAGGAAAGCTTAAAACACATTCTTGCCACATACTCCCGCAAAGAATCATACCTGCTAGCCTAAGAGGACTGGTGAGGAAGGATGATATATGAAGCAGTTGTAGAGCTGGGACCTTCTTGAGTGGAACTATGCGCAAGAGAAATCTAAGGATCGATGTTGTCAAAGCGGCTAAAAGAAGAAATTCCATTGATCCTATGCAAGCTTGAGAAAATCTTTCCACCGCCTTCTTTGATGTCATGGTGCACTTGGCCATCCATCTTCTTCTGATGAGGCATCGCTTAGAGGACCTGTTCAAAGACGGATGGATGTACCCAATAGAAAGGCGGCTAGACACTTTGAAGAATTTTGTAATGAACAGTAGGCGAGGCCGGAAGGATCAATTGTCGAGGCATATATGGCAAGTGACACATTGACTTTTTGTTCTAGGTATATGGAGGATATTGACAATATATTTAACCATCACGATGATAATGATGGAGAGATGCCATTGCTCGATGACGTCTCTGTTTTTTAAGCATGGTGTTACTCTTGTTGGATCTAATAGGAGCCAAGACATTGATGATGATGTCCTCAATAAGTTAGTTTGGTATGTGCTAAATAATTGTGAAGAAGTTTGAGGAATATTTGGAATAAGTATCTATTATATGTTTTGGGGATTAGTTTTTGTTTAATTTCTAAATTTTCAAATTATTCTTATGACTTAGCTTTGCCATGCAGCTTTGTATGCAGGGGACGATCTTGTGCAAAGAAGGTGCGCTTGATGTTGATAAAATGGTTGAACAAGGATTTGCAAAGTGGTTTAGGTCCATGTAAGTCATTACACATTGTGTTTCTAGGTTTAGTAAATGCATTAGTATCCATATGTAATTGGTTAATCGAGTACTTTTGTTGCAAATGATTGAGAACAAACATAAGGAACATCCGAGAATCGGTTAGCGAAGGACTGTGTGGGCACCGTCATGTGGCCCAGATCTCGTGAGTTAAGACTTGTGCATCTTGCATAGTTAATGGAGTGCGGTATAGCAATCGTGGATCGTGAGAAGTTCTTTCTGACACAAAATAGTGGTGTAATGACTGAAGGTTCACATGATGGGAACGGCATAGATTTTTATGGAGTCCTTAAAGAGGTAATTGAGTTGCAATATAACTCAAATCTTCAAGTCCGTCGGACGGCGGTTCTATTTCGATGCGATTGGTTCAAGCAAGAAGGACAGGCCTTCGAGATGACGGACATTTCAAATCCATTAATGTGCAGTCATTATGGTACAAGACTGATCCTTTCATCTTAGCAACTCAATCAAAAAAGATATTTTACATGCAAGACACATATTTAGGTAAAGATTGGCGAGTTGTGCAGAAATTTGAACATAGGAATATTTATGATGTCGCTGAAAAAGATGAGGACAGTCATGATGTGCATCAGGATGATTATTGTTCTGATACTGAGCATGTAGTGCAAGCAGGGGCTGATAATGAGGTTACTCAGAATATTCAAGGTGGAGAAGCCACTATAATTGAAGGAAATTTACAAGACCTTATAAGCAGCAAGAGCAACGTATTATTCGTGAAGATAGTGAGGATGAGGAGGAAGATGAGACAAGATCGCAAAGATCTTTGTAGTGATGGTGGCAATGATAACAATGATGACATGTCCCTAGACGATGAAGATGATGATTTCTAGTATGGACCAGTGTCATGTCCCTAGACTGCACTATTGTTTTTGTTTTTCCAACATTTTTTTATTTATTCTTTTTTTAGTATCTCTATTTTCATTTAGACATGCCTGTGATGGCATTCAACTGTGTGTCATATAGATGCCTATGATGACATTTAACTATGCTTCCTCTAATTATATTCAGATCAGGCCTAAAAGCAACAAAATGCTTCCCAAATGTTACATTGAAGGATGCTACAGAGCTTAGTCTGTTCCTTGCAACCAAACATGTGCTGCGTTACAGCTTAGTTGAGCACATCTGTTGTATCCTAACCAACCAATCCTAAAAACCACAGAGCTTGACATAATAACACATTCAAATTCATATTCAAACTCAAACACACATTCAGATTTGGACTCACATTCAGATTCAGAATCAAACTCATACACATTCACATTTGGACTGGGAACTCAATTCCATTGATCAAAGTTACAATTTACATAATTTACAGTAGTGGGAACTCAATTTACATAATTCACAGTTACAATTTACAATTCATATTTGGCTTCATGCTTTCATAGGCCATCTGATTTGCAAGTACCATAAAGCTCATCCTAACCAACCAATCCTAAAAACCACAGAGCTTGACATAATAACACATTCAAATTTAGATTCAAACTCAAACACACATTTAGATTTGGACTCACATTCAGATTCAGAATCAAACTCATACACATTCACATTTGGATTGGGAACTCAATTCCATTGATCAAAGTTACAATTTACATAATTTACAGTAGTGGGAACTCAATTTACATAATTCACCGTTACAATTTACAATTCAGATTTGGCTTCATGCTTTCGGCTTCGGCTTAGGTATCACTTCCTCATCCAGTAATCTAAACTTGAATCCTTCATTGTTCTTGTAGCGCACGTTCCATCATGATTGTTCTTGCAGTACCCCACAAAGTAGATCTCCCACGTCGGCATTCAACAATGGGATTCAACAAATGGAATGGACATCTTGCAGCATCAATGTCAATGCAATGATATTCAACAAATGGAACGGTATTCAACAAATGGAATGGACATCTTGCAGCATCAATGTCAATGCAATGATATTCAACAAATGGATTGGCTTGCACAGCTGCCCATGTGAAAATTTGAAATTGTGCTGGTACCTGTAATTACAAATTTTTACTTTGAAGCATAAAAGTTCAAATTCACAATATCTTTTCTAGGATCCACTGGCATGTTTTTTCATAACATATAAGAATAAGATCGTTACAAAATTTTATTGCAGGCAAAAAAGAATAATTCTGCAGGAGCAACTACATTTGAGTATAGCAGAGGATCTCACTGATCTATATGCAAAGTACTAGCTGCAAGATTAAGTGACTCACCTTATTCTTAGCAGTGACAGTGACATGAAACTATGACAGTAATACCTAGGAAACATGCCGCTGTAAATGTAATTGACAAGCTGTTGATATGGGGGTTAATTAGCTCCACAGATGCAGCGCATGTGGAAGTACAGCTACCTCGCAGGATTACGGATTACATTTTTCTTGTGTTCCTTGGACATGCTGGGGTTTGGGTTGATTTGGAAACAAAAGATTGGCCAGGTGGGTAGCTGACGCTGCATTGTTCAATATTTATGTTACAGGAATTAAAGCTTCTCAAAATTTTAAACCTCATTTGCTTTGACACAGACAAAAGAAACTCTGTAACCTAGCACAACCCAGAGACTTAGATGGAGGCATTGTAATAACAGTTCCAATATGAAGAGAAAATTGTACTGCTAATGCTAACAAATATGTAGTAAGAACCAGTTCAATAGGATAGATATTAGAATTCTAGAACAAATTACATCGACATAAATAAAGCATAGGAGCAACCGATATGATAGGGGATAGTAATAAACTTTACCAAACCAAGTTTCCACCTTCCTCTTAAGTTACCCTAACCAGTTTCACACTAGACTAAACACCTGAGCCAAGTGCCATATCATTATCATTGCCAATCAAAAAGGTAGGCCACCCCATGATGTACGGATACACAATGTGGTCAAATGTCCTTTTAAACAGCTTCTCCAGTTTCCTTGTTTCCAGGCAGAAGGAAAGGAACCAAGAAGGCAAAATATCTTCTCCATATATCGACATAAACACAATGCCATCAAGAAATGCGAACACTTGGAGCCCGTGCTCACAAAGTTCATCTTCTGGGATCTCGGTAGCCTGAAGAATCTCTGCTTCCAACGGTATCACATTGTGGAGCATCCACTCCTCAGCACCGCTAGCATCTACTCTCCGGAACCAAGTGTATAGTGTAAATCCAGCTACGGACACGATGCAGAGCTACCCAGATTGTAGAGATAGCCCTACCCTTTCAAGTGCTCCAGCAGATCGATACAGGAGAATTGCCGCGTTGCCGTGTCCATGACCACAATGTAGGCATGTTCGGCGTGTGCCCAGTACAGATTCCCGTTCACCTGCGTGCCACTGAGAAGCCAGTGCTTCTTGCCTGACGGCTGTGCTGGGGCAGTCTCCGACCAGGGGAGAATTTGCCACTCCCTAGTGTCTGATGAGAAGACAGAAGCGCGCACCCTCGACTTGTCGTGGCAGGAGGCGACCACGCGGAACGAGTCCGGGCTCTGGTCGGAGTAGAGCAGGAAGAAACCCAGGTAGTAGAAGAAGAAGCCGAGGAGAGGGGGCTGGTGTAGGGCGTGGAAGCGGCGGCGGAAGGCGGGGGAGGAGCGGACTGCGGCGAGAAAGCCGCGGCAGGTGAGGGCGGCGCGGACGAGGCTCGGGAGCTCAACCGCTATGGACCGGCAAGGACCGGCAAGCTCAACCGCTATGGAGGAGCGACGGCGGCGCCGCTATGGAGAATCGAGGGAGTCAGTCACGGCGGCGGAGAAGCGACTAACGTGGGGGTTTCGATGGGCCGGCCTGCAGGCCTGTTCATTTGGTCACACTTAGGTGGACAGTTTAAGTAAGACTGCAGTCGAGAACTAACGAAAACATTTGAGTAGCGCATTGGTAAGGCACTTTGAGTTTCTCCCTGCGCTCCCGGATTCGAACCCAATGGGAGCCAATTTTTTTTGTTTTTCCCACATTTGTTGTGTTTATTATTTTTCTGTGTCTCTATGTTTATTTTTTTGCCAGATTTTTAATTAATTATTAATATATTATTGCTTAATGATTTACCTCATTGATTTTCAAACATCTTATTACATTTTTTAGATATTATTGTACTTATTTGTTGAATGACTAAAGGATAAAAGCTTTAAGCTACCTTGTGACTAAGTGAGAGTTGTTCATACATGTACAAGATGTATAGTACCATTTTGTCGAAATCATTTGAAACTTTAATGGGATGTTTATGGAGCCAAACAATGATGCTGTGTGCATCTGTGCAATTTTTTGACCAAGTTTATCTATTATTGTAATTTTTTGTTGGATTAGTGAAGGATAAATGTTAAAATACCCTAACCTAGCTAAAAAATTATAAAAACTTGCATGGACACCTCACTTTGGTGTATAACGTTGACAAAAAAGTTTGAACTAATTCCGAGAAAGTGGTCATGCACATCCTCGCAAAGGCATACATGTCTAACATATAACCTAATAACTAAGCGAGAGTTGTTCATGATTGTACAAGATGTATAGTACCACCTTGTCAAAATCATTAGAAAATTTTATGGGATGTTTATGGAACCAAACTATGATGTTGTGTGCATCTGTGCGATTTTCTGACCAAGTTTCCATATTATTGTAATTTTTTGTTGGATTAGTGAAGGAATAAATTTTAAAATACCCTAAGCTAGCTAAAAAGATCTAAAGCCTTGCATGGACACCTCACTTTGGTGTATAATGATGACAAAAAAGTTTCAGCTAATTCTAACAAAGTGGTCAGGATCATCCTGACAAAGTCATACATGTCTAACATATATCCCTCTAACTAAGTGAGAGATGTTCATGCTTGTACGTGATGTATAGTACCACTTTGTCAAAATCCTTTGAAATTTTTATGTCATGATCATACACCAAAATAAGGTGTCCATGCAAGTTTTTAGAATTTTCTACATAACTTAAGGTATTGTAGCTTTTATCCTTTAGTTATTCAACAAATAACTAAGATAATAACTAAAAAATGTAATAAGAAGTTTCAAAATAAATTGGGTACCATAGGGTCTTCCGGGAGGGAAAAAATGTCGCCAAAAAAAATGCCGCCAAAAAAAATGCCGCCTAAAACTGATTACCGCTAATTTAGCCATTACCCCCACTCCCTCCTCACCCTCGGCCACTCGTCCTCTCCCCCCCCACATTTCTCCAACCCAAGCCGCCACCGCAGGAACACAACCGCCTGCCTCGAGGTGCTTCCTCGCCCATGAAGCCGTGTGTCGTCGTGGACTAGGGGTCGCCTGCACTTACCAGTCCGCTTCCCCGCTGACGACCACCGCCGACGAGCACCAGTCCGCCAGCACTGAGTCCGCTTCCCGCTGAGCGACCACCGCCGACGAAAGCACTGGTATACATCCGCAATGGTGGCAACCAGGGGTCAAGGTAGGAAGAGACCTGCACAACAAGATCAAGGTAACCATTTGGCTATAGATTAAGTTAGGCGTATGTGATTTATTTTGCTTTTTGTCTTCCCAGATTTTCCTGTGCAATTAGTAATGCATTGTGAACCCAATTTGTCTTCCCAGATTTTCCCAGATTTTTCTGTGCAGTTAGTAATTTAACTTTGAATGTGAACCCAGTTTGTCTCCACTCCATTCTAGTACAGTGATTTCTAATAACTATTCATAATGAATGTACTCAGATCTTGAAAGGCATGAAGAATAGTCATAAGTGATAATGCTGTATAATTTCTCTCGCTCAAAATTTTGAATCATGTTCCTGTAGGTTCATCTCCTAGCTAGGGAGCCGTATATTTCTGGTTTCTTAAATCCTTGCACCTCTGCATTTGGAGCCTTTAGGAGGTGTTTTTGGTCCTATTTGCCTCCCCATTTTGGTTTCAGTGGTCTAAACTTTAGGAGCTAATCCTTAGAATTTGACCCAACAATCAACATATGTATCTAGAATTTCTGTCTGTCGTATCTTGATCTGTCAGATTAAGATTTGCTTCATCTGTATATCTGAATCATTTTTAGCTATTTTTGTAGTTTTGAGTATTTGGTCATTTCTTGCTAGATCATGGTTAAGCACCCAGAAATTTTTCTTAGTTTTTAATCAACTGTGTCAAAAGAATATTAGAATGGTTCTATTGCACAACTGATACACTATTTCATCTTAAACTCATATAGCAAAGAAACTTCTCATTTGTAAAATACATGATCCCACCTGATGCCTTTCCTTCCACTTGGGGAATAAATCCTTTTTCAGAATCAGAAATGTAGCAGAGTGCATGCAAGTGTGTTGATTGGAAAATAGTAGTTCAGTACAAGCTATCTTCAAAATTTTCACAGATTTTAGAGTAATTGTGCTTCAGTACACAAATACCTGTACCTCTTAGTTCTTTCTGACCTAATATTTTTTGCCTATAACCTATCACCTCTTATCCCTTAGCTCTTCAGCAGGCACTACTAGCTCCTACCTCTTATCTATCTACCATCTAGTATTACTACCTCTTAGCTCTTAGTTCACTTCTTTTTATTTTCTAATAGACATAATTTGCTTGTTTTTGTAAGAATCTAAAAAAACTGATTATGAGAGACGCCGGGATGCACGCGTGGCGAACAATTTAAAGAAGATGCAAGGTTTCGGCCTGAAAAATCTATCTTTTCAATTTAATAACTCTGTATCACTATCTGCATCAAAGAAGGGGGGAAAATCAGCAAACAATAAAAGAAATAATGAAGATTCGGATTCATCGGAGTATCTCCTTGAAGATGATGATCAAGGAGATAGTGATGATGATGACACTAAATCTGTTGAGCAGCCACAACCCCTGGCAACTAAGGTGCTTCTTCTATCTTCAAAGTACTGGATGGGGAATATTTGCATTGCATTTGAGTGTTTTTAATCTGTTCTTCAATATATGCCTTTGCTTTTAGATGCATCTTGTTTCTTGCATACTTGTTCTTTAATATATGGTCTAGCTTACTGCTGCACATGACTTGATTTTTTTATCCACAGTTTCTTGTAGGGTATAGTTGGAAAGTCCTAGCTTCAAAGAAGAAGAAGACAGGCCCCACCATGGCGCCAGGAGTTAGGGCTAGTAAGAGAGTGAGGGCATCTCAAGGATCACAGGTTTAGCCTCCTGAATCCCAAACAAGATCATCAAAAAGGCTTCTTGTTTCAAGAGAGATGGCGAATGTAGAGGATCCTACCAATGGTCATGATGAAACACCACCACAAAGGTCTTATACAGATGCAGAGGAAGGCGATGGAGCTGGTGGTTAGGACAATACAGCTGCAGAGGAATTCAGTGGAGGTGGTGCTCAAGACAGTACAGGTGCTGATGAAGACAATGCAGCTGGAGAGGAAAACACTGAAGGAAAGTTGATGTTTCTTTGTCATTATATTATGCCATCTGGTTTGCTGATCTGCATGAAACTAAAGCATTTAAATCCAAATTGTATTTTTGCAGCTCCTTCACAAAGGAGAGCCCCACGGAGACCTGGCCACCCACCAAGGGAGCACAATGGACGGGATGACTAAAGCTATGGGAAGGAGAATGCCCATAGCTATTCTTTGAAGGGAAAAGAAGGCCTCATGAACCTGCTCAAGCAGCCAAGTTTGCATCCGAGGTGGTGTCATCATTAGGGATAAGGTCCTGTCCTAACTCATTGAAAGATTACAAGAGAGATGATCGCTATTACAAAGACTTTGTGGGAAAGCTCTCTGTAAGTGCATTATTGTTTCTATGGTAAACTTGTATATCTGTTTAACCTGCATTGACTAACTAAATATGGAATTGTCATATGACTAGGGGCGCTTGGCCATTAACCCTGAAGACAAGCCAACAGAGGAAGCTTGCACTGATATGCTATGCTCTAGGGTGCGGCAAATACGTTATCGGCTGAAGAACAAATACTTCAATGGTAAACCTGCAAATGAGATTCCCACAACTTCTCCAGTTGCATGCATGTCTGATGCAGAGTGGAGGGTACTGGTTGCAAAGTGGTGTAATCCAAAAAACATGGTACGGGTATCTTGTCATATATTCTTTCTCATTCAGTTTCCAAAGATCTTCTCATTTGGAACCTATGATCTCATCTGACATGTTCATTCTCTTGTGGGAATCATGTGAAAAGAACAAGCAGAATCGTAGTAAAGTCAAGTATCATTAGGCTACGGGTTCTCGCAGCTATGTGGCACACTTACATGCATATGTAAGTAAAGAGTACCTTGTACATATTTGCACTAACCAACTTATTTTGCATTTTATCTGACAACTTTCCTGTAATTGATTATCTATGAAATGTAAAAAGAAGAAAAACAATGTAGAACCAAGCACGTAACAAAATGAAGAACTTGATTTGGTGGAGGCCTTCAAGACCGCCATATACTGCTCCAAAAATGGTCTCAATGAACCAAAGCAAGAGAAGCACTTGTAAGTCCCGACATCTGCTTTTGTTTGTGCCATTTTGTTCATTAATTGGATAACATGTCCTATTTTAATCATTTTGTATACATCTTTTGCTCAAAACTGGTCATAATCCAACATAGCTATATACTTGCTAAATAAGTTAAGTACTAAATCAAGGCTGTTCTTATTTCGGGAACAATGTACATGCAAATATAAATTTAGATTGCGGTCATTGATATACTAGATTAAAAGCGCAATGTATCAAACAAGGAATGGTGAATGGGTTATTATCTTGGATGGATATGAAAATGGAAGCAACCTAACTGCAGCCAAGTCTCTAAAGCCCATGCTTTTAGTTATTCTCATGTGTTTTATGTATGTATATTATATCGCTAAACCAATCTCTTTGAACAATCGATAACTGCGTGTTCGTTAATACTTGATAGATGTTGATCTGGAAATGAGATTGCATTTAATCGAGAACAATCTGAACTAATTGTGTCCACATGCTAGGTGATTTCTGATTGTTTCATTGTAGAGTAGCTGTGCTTTATGTCAGTAAGAACCAAACTACAGTTTACATAATGTTCCACATAACAAATCAGATAAATTGTACTACAGTCTGTCCCATTTTGCTAGGTTTGCTTCTACCTCTCTCTAGTACACATTTTGCTATTTATATTTTTAAAAATACATCTTGTATGATATTTGCACCTCAAATTAATGCAATAATGATCAACTAATGATGGGTCATTGTTGTTTCAGTCAAATATGGAACCTTTGAGGGCAGAACCTGTTGCTGAAGGTGAGACAGCAGTATCCAGTGTGCAGGTTGTGTCCCAGGTGCTCTCCTAGAATAGCTCAAACCATTTCCTCAAGAGTGTTGGCATCAAACCAGTGGCATCCTCCAAATCATCATCATCAAATGAAAGCGAGCTTCGGGAAGAACTAGCAACTGAAGCTAAGGCTGCTGTACAAGGTGAAATCGACGATCTCAAGAAGAGAAGTGAAGAAGCTGAGGAAAAGTTGGCGAGGACACAAAAGGAGATGGAGGAGTACAAGAAGCTGACAGAGATAAACACCAAGGCAATGGAGGAGAACAATGCGCTGCTCAAGCGTATCTTGGCCATCAACAATGGTTCTTCGACATGAGCGTTGCGCGTAGCTGCTGGTTGATGAAGCAAGGGGTCTGTGCTGGTGATTTTGCTTATGCAATAACCTATGTTGCTGTTGCTTGCCCACTTTTTAATAGTTGCTGTCATAACCTATGTGAACTGAGATGAAACTAGTACATGGAATATGATGTCTAGTGAGTTATATGTGAACCAAGTTTAGTATTATTCATTAAGTTGATGGTACCTATGAATACTGGATCTGTTAAGTTGATGGTAATTGGAATACTGTGATCTGTTGTTCAGCATGTGCACCTGTGATGAATTTTGTTACCTTTTTGTGACGATTTTGTAGTCGATTCTGTGACTATTTTGTAATCTATTCAGTGACGAATTTGTAATCACTTCAGGACGAAAATGAGAGCCAATCACAGACAAGACACGTGGACTACTCACGGCATGCCCCTGTGGCCCAATAAAAAGTGGACACGTGCACATCCACATCATCGCCACGCCAACCGCCACGTAGTCGACACGCCACCGACCACGCCAAGCCACGTCACCTGAAACGTGGACGCGCCATGTGGACAGGACACGTCAGCTGCCAGTGTGGCAGACGCCGTCTGGCTGCCTAACAGACGGCAAGTTATGACAAAAAAGGGGCTACATCAATGACGAAAATGCATTATCATAGAAAGAATACTCTTCTATGACGAGGGCCATTTCGTCATAGAAGGAACGCACATCTATGACAAAAATATACGTTTCGTCACGTTATCCAAAATATGACGCTCGTTCAATGACGAAATCGATTTCGTCACAATTTCGTTATAAAATAATATATGTGACGATTTTGGTGTCTTCAGTGACGAAAGGAAAGCGTCATTGATGAACACATCCCTAGTAGTGGGAGAAGATCGAGTTTTCCTTGAATGTCTTGCCGACCGCCAAACCAATCAAGCAGAAACTCCACCGATTCGCCAGACAAGAAGGAGGCTATTAGGGTAGAAATAAAACAGCTCTTAGCTGCCGGATTCATAAAAGAAGTGTATCATCCTGAGTGGTTAGCAAACCCTGTTCTCGTTTGAAAAAAGAATAAAGAATGAAGAATGTGCGTTGATTACACTGAT